CTGGCCTAAAACTCACCATTCAAAAAACTAACGTCATCGCATCCAGTCCCATCACTTCATGGCAGATAGATGGGGAAAGAATGAAAACAGTGACAGACTTTATTTTCTTGGACTCCAAAATCACTGCAGATTGTGATTGTAGCCATGAAGTTAAAAGATGCTTGTTCCTTGGAAGAAAAGCTGTGATAAACCTAGACAGTATATTAAAAAGAACAGACATTACTTTGCCGACAGAGGTCCATCTAGTCAAGGCTATGGTTTTTCCAGTAATCATGTATGGATGTGAGAGTTGGACTATAAAGAAAGCTGAGCACAGAAGAATTGATGCTTTTGAACTGTGGTGTTGGAGAAGACTCTTGAGAGTCCCTTGGACTGCAAGGAGATCCAACCAGTCTGTCCTAAAGGAGATCAGTCTTGAATATTCTTTGGAAGAACTGATGCTGAAGCTGAAACTTAAAGACTTTGGCCACCTGATACGAAGAACTGAATCATTGGAAAAGAACCTGATTCTGGGAAAGATTGAAGGCAGGAGGAGAAGGGGATGACAGAAGATGAGATGGTTGGATGGCATCACTGACTTGATGGATGTAAGTTTGACCAAGCTCCAGGAAGTGGTGATGGACAGGGAAGCCTGGCATGGTACAGTCAATGGGGTCGCAAAAGAGTCAGATACGACTGAGCAACTGAACTGATCCAGAGTCTAAAGTCATTATTGTTCCGTTTATATGATCTTTATTTAAGTAGAAATACAGTTGATTTACAATGTCATATTAATCTCAGGTGTACAGCAGAGTGATTGAGTATCTATCAATCATCTTTCAATCTATTCTTCCTCAGATTCCTTTCCCTGTGGTAAAGAATAGATTATTACAAGATATTGAATACAGTATACAAGATAGATGATACAGCATACAATACATAAAATACAATATGCAAGATATTGAATCCAGTTCCCAGGACTGTACAGCAGGTTATTTTTTAACTTTTTATTTTGTATTGGTACATAGCTGATTAACAATGTTGTGATGGTTTCTGGTGAACAGCCAAGGGACTCAGTGATAGATATCCATGTATCCATTCTCCCCCAAACTCGCCTCCTCTCCATGCTGCATAACATTGAGCAAGTTCCACAAATCCTTATTATCTGTTTTATTAATATATTAATATGTAGTACTATATGTATCAATCTCAAACTCCTGATTTATCTCTCCCCCTGCATTTCCCTTTTGCCAACCATAAATTTGTCTTCTATATCTGTGAGTCTGTTTGTAAATGAGTTCATTTGTATCTTTTTTCACATTCTGCCTATAAGCAATATATGGTATTTGTCCAGAATTATCATGTTACCTGGCTTGCTTTAGCTGTTTGCTGGATGTGCTTCCTATTACTTGTGTGATGTAGACACCTAGAATGCTATCAGGTTATCAGATTATAGGACTTTGATGCTTAACAAGCATTTGCAGAATGAACTAATACATCTATAGGTTGTTTCTAAATGCAGCATTTCTAAGTATGAAAAGTGAAAGTTCATATGTAAGCAGGATACATTTTGGAATATTCTATGAGAGCATTTCAATTTTTCCAAAGCATGAGTAAAGTATTGCCCCCCGCCATATTATGCATTTTACTAACTTTTACATGTCTGTGAATGTAGAATATTAAAATATATTGGTTTTCTAATCCTTTTGTTCTTTGTATAGTACTTGGGACAGGGTTTCAAGTCAAAGGTCTCATGACATCATTTGCCCATAGATTAAATGTCTTTTTCAGGTTAGTGATTCTTCAGTGGATACAAGTAGTTATTAAATACTGATGGTATCTTTAATAGGCATAACAGTATTTTATAATATTTAGTGGTTTAATACATTATATTGGTATTAAAAATGTCATATGTGTAGCATATTAATTCTGTAATTATAGCATGCGTGGTCAGTAGCTCAGTCGTGTCTGATTTTGCGACCCCATGGACTGCAGCCCACTGGGGTCCTCTGTCCATGGGATTTTCTAGGCAAGAATACTGGAATGGGTTGCCTTTTCTGACTCCAATCATGGCACAGAGGGATGAATTACAGATAATTATATACACTTGTATAGAATATGTGTGATTGTATCAGTGCTTTCAAATGAATCTGTAAGCCCATGTGAAAATGCAACCATGAAAATATCTGTAACTAAACTTTTGTTTGTAAAGTCAATCAGATCAGACTCTGTGTTTTCCTAAACTGTGATATAATGGAATGATCACAAGACTAAGGGTCAGAAAATCAGGTTTCTCATCTAGCTTCCAGCCTAATGAGGGGGATACCGAAGAAGTCATTGTTCCCACTAGAATGTAAGCTCCATCGGGCAGAGGTCAGAGTCAGTTGCATTCATTTCTGTATCACCAACATGCAGAAAAGGTGAGGACCAGTTCAGGTGCTGGACAGTTACTTGTTGCATGAATTATACTTCTCTTTTGTACAGTTTCCACAACTGTAAAATTCTGATCCTTCCAACCCTTACTTTCCAGATAATATGAGAGCCCTTTGAATATAAATCAGACAGATTCAGAGCTAGAATTGCTTATCCAGCTGCTTCCTGGGCCTTTATACGGTTGTATAGTGAGTGCTTCAAAACTTGGTTGAATATTTCTTAACATGAGTAAGACAAGATATTGGCCCATGACTTCAATCTTTAGAAAGGCTTAATACAAAAACTCTACAAATATATTACTCAAACACACAAAATTAAATAAGTATAAAAGAAAGTCCAATAACCGATCTCATACATGATGTTTTTGCAAAGTGTGTAGGACTTAAACATTTATTTGGAAGCTATGATGGTTTAAAACTGCTGTAAGGATTTGAGGACACCCTGTAGACATACCCTTCTTTGAAAAAACTTGAAAAATACAAATTGATAAATAACTCTTAAATGTTTTAATTTCATTCATCAAACACATATGTCACTACAAGCACCTGTAGCAGGTGTTAGGAGAGGCGGGAGAAGCCAGGCTCTGATAGTACCTCCGTCATCTGGACAGCCAAGCACACACAGCCTCCTGGGCGGAGTCGACATCAGAACTGGAAACGCCACAGAGGAGACCTGTGGACTGGGGGCTGATGACCAGACCACCATCACTCACAGCCTCCAGGACCAACCCAGCTTTGGGAGCCACTGTCTGGTCCCCTCACATCCTCCAGGCCAATGTTTGATGAGACCCTGACCCCTTTTTTATAAAACCACTGCTCTGCTCCATCAATCTCCATCCCTTCTCTTGCCTGTTTTTATCCATAACAGTTATTACCAGACCTGTTACATATTTGTTGACTTGTTAATTGCCTTTCTTGTGTATACATACATGTATGTAAGCTCCATGATGACAGGAAATTTGTCACTTGGCAGTGTTTACCCAGAACCTAGAACAGTATGGGACACCTGGTTGGTATTTAGTAAATATTTTTTGGATGGAGGAAGGGATGGAAAGAGGGAGGGAGGGATAAATGGATGGGTGGAAGGATAGATGGAAGAATGAAGGAAAGATGGTTGGAAGGAGGGAAGGATGGATGGATAGAATAAAGGATGGAAGCATAGATGTATGGATGGGGCTAGGGATGGATGGATGCATGCATGGAAGGATGGAGGGAAGGAAGGATGGATGGATAAAAGGATGGATGGATGTATAGAAAGAAGGATGGATGGATGGAGGAATGGATGGATAAATGAATGGACGAAAGTATGGATGGATGAATAAAACAAAGGGTGAATGGATGGAAGGAATGCTGACTGAGTGGATAAATGAACACCTTAATGAAAAGATCCTTGTGGCTGATCCTCTTAACCATTTCTCTCTAGTTCCCAGCATCCTTCCCTCCATTTACGTATAAAGTTTGCTTTCATTATTCTAGCTATGAACCTCATTATTTTCAGTAGAATTTGCTGTTCTACCCTCGTTTATTCCCTTGGGTTGCCTGGGGTAAACATTTGTCAGGATTCTGGCTGGCTCACCTGGGTAACATGGTATGGGGGCTTGCCCCTTGCCCTCAGGTGTGTGGTGCTGATAGGCATGCAGAGATGAAATGTTGCTTTACATGGTGACTTCATACAGGAGCGACATCTAAAGAGGAGCCACAGACACACGTAAACACCCAAACTAAGCTAAATGGCAGCTATCATGGCCATAGGTGAAGTCCCTGCCTTGAGCCCAGTGGGTGAGACAGAAATCAGAGGGAGCACAGGTGGGGAATCTAGGGCCATAGGTGGGAATAGAGATGCATCCACATGATAGTTGGTAGAAGCACAAATTGCTTTGTAGAGGACAAGTTAGAAACAATAAGATGAAACAGATTCCTACCCTTTCACTAGCATTTCAACCTCTAAAAATGTATCCTGTGAAAGCCCCTCTAACAAGTGGAAATGTCACCAGTAATGAGCCCTATGTGGGCAACCTCTGTGCCACCTCAGATGAGATCCTGTATGCTAAAGTGTTACAGAAAACATTGAATAAAATGCTCTTCTTGTTGTTCTTGTTTTTTCTTTTATGAGGATTGTGGATAGCTTGCTGTACCAAAACAGTGGCATTTTCCATGCTGGGTTCCAAGTTCTTCTTCTGTAGAGGACATTCCCAGTCATTCAAATCTATCTCCATGCAGTTGGAACTTTCTAGATTAGAAAAAACCTGTTAGCTTTCACAGAACAGTTCAGTGCAAAATCCAGTTTTCACTGAAGCTGACGACTTGAGCAGCCATAATGCAGGGATGCATTTTGGCTCATTGGGAGTCAGGTGGTCTCTGAAACCGGGCGGTGGTCTGCCTTCTACTGCTGCCTCCTTAGCCAGAGCATCCTGTAGCAAAGAGATTAATTCATCAGGGTATTTTCTTAGACATTATTTTTGTGAATAAAACTTGAATTATATGCATAATTAACTATTGTACTTGCAGAATCGATATCCAGGGGAACTGTCTGGGGAAAGAAAAAAAAAAAAGCAACAACTTAGAGTTGCTTTTACTCTCTCCTGCCAGAGTCAGGCCACAAGAAGTTGAAAAGCACCATCCAGAGAAGCACAGAGACGGGGATGGCAGCTGAGATGAGGAAGATGGTGAGGCAGCCAAGCCGGGAGTCCACAGATGGCAGCATCAACAGCTACAGCTCCGAGGGAAAGTAAGTGGGTCAGCGCGGCACCTGGACTAGAGCTGAGGGTACCGAGTCACAGGAAGGGTAACAAGGCCCCCAGGTCATCCTGCAGCTGCTTTGTACAACTGGGAGTTCAACCATCCACTTAAAAACAGCCTGACCTCTCAGGGTGCAGACAGACACACCCCTGCCCCTGGTCACTCAGACCTCTCAAAGGGATGAGGAAGTGGCGGCTTAACATGAATAAACTGATTTTTTGTTATCCAGAAAGGCTCAGAAAAGCCCATGACCAGAGGCTTATGGTAGAAATGCCACATTTAATGGCTTCTTTCAGATGGGAATTTCATTGTCTGGCCCATTTGCCAAAATCTGAATTAGAATATAGACAAATGAAACTAATTGTCCATATTCTTGCTTTTCTCCAAACTATTTTGGGATTCAAGTTGTTGGAAGTCCAGCATTCTTATAATAGCAACTTATTTTTCCTATTTTTAAAACATCACGATTTCATTTTCACCTTAGGAAAAATGCCCAGGATCTACCTACTTAGTTATTTTTCTGATGAAAGAGTTTTCATTAATCTTGAAATTAATTAATTTGGGGAAAAATATAACTAGATTTTTGTTTACTTAGTGTGATTTTTTTTACACAAAATCTGCATTTTTCTTATACTTGAGAATTTTCCTGGTGAAACTGAAATAATGGTTTTAATGGTTGATAGTTTGATGGTTGACAGGTTACTGAAGTGATAAATCTTACAAATAATTAAGTATTATCCTGCAGTGGGTTACTTGGGGATTGACCATGTACAAGTTTTCTATAATTATGTATTACCATGCAAATACCTTTTACCCATTCATTATTAATAATTTATTTTATTTTATTGGCATTTTTAATTTGGTTCAGAAAATAAAATAAATTTTGCCAAGTTAATGTTCATGATATGGTTTCCCATTCCTGAAAGTAGTGAGTCCCTCTATTTGATCCAATGATGGGTATGCATTCTCCCAGCAAGATACAGACAGGAATAAAAATCAGAAGGCATGAATTTATGGAGTTAAGTTTGCTGACATAATACCAATATTTGTAGAAGTGTTATAAAGCAATGGGCAAATAAAAAACTGGAGGCACTGTTTTCTGACATAAAAATCAACAAGTGTAGATTGGGATTAACATATACATACTACTATATGTATATATATAATCATTAGCTAATAGGAACCTACTGTATAGCACAAGGAGCTCTTCTAAATTCTCTGTAATGGCCTATAGGGGAAAAGGACCTAAAAGAGGGTGGACATATGCATGTATCCAGATGCATATAACTGATTCACTTTGCTGTACTGCAGAAAGTAACACAGCATTGTAAATCAACTATACTCGAATAAAATTTTTTTAAAAATTGACAAATCTAGTCATACTTCCACCATGGATAAGGCACTTAACGTCTCACAGATTTATTTTATGGTCTCTGAATAGGATAATAATTGATGCCCTAATTCCTTTGATTTTGAAGAAATAATATGCATGAAAGCACACGGTTGTTGTTCAGTCGCTCAGTCGAGTTTAACTGTTTGCGACCCCACGGACTGCAGCGTGCCAGGTTTCCCTGTCCTTCACTACCACATTGGAAACAATCAACGCTTGTAGAAAACTGTTTATTCCAAAAAATTACTTATTGAAGTTAAAACTATGTAAACAGCCTGGTTCTTGTTACCCTGGCTGTTGCTGCTGCTGCTAAGTCGCTTCAGTCGTGTCCGACTCCGTGTGACTCCATAGACGACAGCCCACCAGGCTCCCCCGTCCCTGGGATTCTCCAGGCGAGAACACTGGAGTGGGTTGCCATTTCCTTCTCCAATGCATGAAAGTGAAAAGTGAAAGTGAATTCGCTCAGTCATGTCCGACTCCTAGTGACCCCATGGATTGCAGCCTACCAGGCTCCTCTGTCCATGGGATTTTCCAGGAAAGAGTACTGGAGTGGGTTTGTTACCCTGGAGACATCAGTTAGAAGAGCACAGTCCCTGCTCTGGGTAAAGATATAGCCTGGGGTTTCAGGCAGGCATGGTGAGAAACAGACAAACTTCAACCAACTTACTTCCATTTAATTTAAATACAAATCTCATATAATATGACATTTTAATTCATTCAAAATGTTAATTCATTCAAAACTGAATAAATTAAGCATTTTGATTTGTAAATAAGAATCTGTTTTCAAATAATATTTATTCAATATTACAAACTAGAGATACCAAGAGAACATTTCATGCAAAGATGGACACAATAGAGGACAGGAATGGTATGGACCTAACAGAAGCAGAAGATATTAAGAAGAGGTGGCAAGAATACACAGGAGATCTATATGAAAAAGATCTTCATGACCCAGATAACCGTGATGCTGTGATCACTCACCTAGAGTCATATCCTGGGATGTGAAGTTAAGTGGGTGTTAGGAAGCATCACTGTCAACAAAGCTAGTGGAGGTAATAGAATTTCAGTTGAGCTACTTCAGATCCGAAAAGATGATGCTGTAAAAGTGCTACACTTAATATGCCAGTGCTACACTCAAATTTCCAAAATTTGGAAAACTCAGCAGTGGCCACAGGACAGGAAAAAGTCAGTTTTCATTCCAATTCCAAAGAAAGGCAATGCCAAAGAATGTTCAAACTACCGCACAATTGCACACATCTCACAGACTAGCAAAGTAATGCTCAAAATGCTCCAAGCCAGGCTTCAACAGTAGGTGAACCGTGAACTTTCAGATGTTCAAGCTGGATTTAGAAAATTCAGAGGAACGAGAGATCAAATTGACAACATCTGTTGGATCATCAAAAAAGCAAGAGAGTTCCAGAAAAATATCTACTTCTACTTTATTGACTACACCAAAGTCTTTGACTGTGTGAATCACGATAAACTGTGGAAGATTGTTCAAGAGATGGGAATACTCGACCACCTTACCTTCCTCCTGAGAAATCTGTATGCAAATCAAGAAGCAACAGTTACAACTGGATATGGAACAACAGACTGTTTCCAGATCGGGAAAGGAGTTCTTCAAGGCTGTATATTGTCACCTTGCTTATTTAACTTCTATTCAGAGTACATCCTGTGAAATGCCCAGCTGGATGAAGCACAAGCTGGAATCAAGATTGCTGGGAAAAATATCAATAACCTCAGATACTCAGATGACACCATCCTTATAGCAGAAAGCAAAGAGGAACTAAAGAGCCTCTTGATGAAAGTGAAGGAGAGTGAAAATGTTGGCTTAAATCTCAACATGCTGAAAACTAAGATCATTGCATCTGGTCCTATCACTTCATGGCAAATTGATGGGGAAACAATGAAAACAGTGAGAGATTTTATTCTGGGGGGCTCCACAATCACTGCAGATGGTGAGTGCAGCCATGAAATTAAAAGATGCTTGCTCCTTGGAAGAAAAGCTATGACCAACCTAGACAGCATATTAAAAAGCAGACATTACTTTGACAACAAAGGTCCATCTAGTCAAAGCTATGGTTTTTGCAGTAATCATGTACGGATGTGATAGTTGGACTGTAAAGAAAGCTGAAGGCAGAAGAATTGATGCTTTTAAACTGTGATGCTGGAGAACACTCTTGAGAGTCCCTTGGCTGCAAAGTCAGTCTTCATGGAAATCAGTCCTAATATTCATTGGAAGGACTGATGCTGATGCTGAAATTCTAATACTTAGACCAGCTGATGCAAAGAACTGACTCCTTGGAAAAGACCCTGATGCTGGGAAAGACTGAAGGTGGGAGGAGAAGGGGACAACAGAAGATGAGATGGTTGGATGGCATCACTGACTCAATGGACATGAGTTTGAGCAAACTCTGAGAGTTGGTGATGGACACAGAGGCCTGGCGTGCTGTAGTCTATTGGGTCGCAAAGAGTCAGACACAACTGAGTGACTGAACTGAATATTTCAAATAATATCTATTCAAGAAATTATTAAATGTTTCTTAAAATTTAGCACTTTATTGTTACTTCATGCTCATGAGCAATTATTTAAGTAGGTCATGACATAAAATATCACATCTTATATCTTATGTTAGTCATACATTTATGTAGGGATTTGTATTGTAAAATGTGCCAAAAACTTACTGCATTAAAAACTTTAACTAAGCCCTCCTCAGCATGTCTTTTTTAAAACTTTTCTATTTTATATTGGAGTATAGTTGATTAACAATGTTGTGTTAGTTTCAGGTGAACAGAAGGGAGGGATGTACTGGGAGTTCAGGATTGACATGTACACACTGCTGTATTTAAAGTGGATAACCAGGAGAGGGAGGTTCCCTCGCGCGGCAGGACCGCGTTCACCTTGGGGACCCTCCCCGCCCAAAGATAAAATAAAGTGGATAACCAACAAGGACCTACTGTGTAGCCAAGGGAACTCTGATGAATATTCTGTAAATTGATAGGCTAGACCTTTTCTCATTCAGCACTGAGCCTCATATGCTTGGTTCAGCAGAAATGCAAAGAATCAGTAAGTAAACCAGTTACCCAAATACTGTTTGATTCATGTTCAGAACGATATTCTAATGGAAAGTAATGGGGCTTCCCTGGTGGCTCAGCTGGAAAGTAACGAAAAGAATTCTAAGAGATCTAATGTTTTTATTTTTGTCCTTTTGCCAATAGTTTAATATTTCCTGGAGTGAGACTAGGCGCAGATAGTCAATTCAGTGATTTTCTTGATGGATTGGGACCAGCCCAGCTTGTTGGCCGCCAGACCCTTGCTACCCCTGCAATGGGTAAGAATAATTTTTCCTGAAAGAAAATGAGTGTTTCATGGTTGACAAGATTATTTAAAGTAGCATAATAGCATTGATAATACAAGTGAGAAGAACATTTTATCTCAAGTATTGCTGGTTTCAAATGACTATTCTAAGTTTTAATGCATTTTTCTAACTTGATACATATTTCTAATGCATTTTCCTAACTTTGCTGAGAAAGGAAGGTCTGTATAGTCAAAGCTGTGGCTTTCCAGTGGTCATGTATGAATGTGAGAGCTGGAACGTAAAAACATTGAGCACCGAAAATTAATGCCTTCAGACTGTGGTACTGGAGAAGACTCGTGAGAGTCCCTTGGATATCTAGGAGATCAAACCAGTCCATCTGAAAGGAAATCAACCTTGGATATTCATTGGAAGGACTGGGGCTGAAGCTGAAGGTCCAGTACTTTGGCCATCTGATGTGAAGAGCCAACTCACTGGAAAAGATCTGATTCTGGGAAAGATAGAGGGCAAGAGGAGAAGGGGTGACAGAGGATGAGATGGTTGGATGGCATCACTGACTCAGTGGATATGAATTTGAACAAGCTCAGGCAGGTAGTGAAGGACAGGGAAGCCTGGCGTGCTGCAGTTAGTTCAGGGCTCTCAGAGTCAAACACGACTACATAACAGCAACAGCTTGACACATAATGTAAAATGAATAAAGTTAGTCACCTCTCTGAATTATCAAAATTCTGTCAATGTAATGTCTACAGTATATCCAAATGTAGGAGAAGGGTAGCATTTTATAGCATGGAAAAATCAATACATTAGTCAATCAAGAATGTTGGTGTGAGTGTGTTATTATGCAAAAAAATTAATGAAATTGCCTCCCTACTTCAGAACTCAAAAAAGTAGTGTTTTGGAGTCGATTGTAAAAGAGAAACAGGAGGTAAAGAAAGACACTAACAAATACTGAAGAACACTTTAATGTTTCTATACTCTTGGAGTGGGAAAGAACTTCCAAACCAAAGCCAGATAAATCAAAAAACTTCTACTAGCAAAAATACCATAAATGAAGATTATAAAAGGTGACAAATGTAGAAAATTATATGTAACATGTGCAATAAATATCTTCCTGGAGGTATGAGATTCTAGCTTGAAAGGACCCACAGAGTAGTCAGCAAATTCATGAGAATATTTCAAACACAAAAACAATATTATGTCATTTTACAGTACCAGAGATTGATAGAAAATCCCACAACTTTCCTAAGAGGAAAAATAATTGTATCCAAACTATTAAAAATCTGATTCTCACTGGACTCTTCAGTAATAATAGTGGAATCCAGAAGATGAGCATTGTCTTCAAAATTCTGATTAACAATTGATTTCCAACATGGAGTACAATAGCCAGCCAAGTCATCTAGTAAATTTGAGGCTAGAATTAATATATGTTCAGACCAAAAGGGCCTCGAAACATTTTCCTTATACCCAGCATCATTCAGAAACCTATTAGAGGACATGCCTCAACAAAATGAACTAAGTGAACTTAAAAATTGTGAACTAAAAAGGAGGAACATGAAATTCAGTAAATTAATGTTTCCGTACAAGAGAGTAATGGATGGGATGCCCAGAATGGTAGTGAAGGAAAATCTAAGAAAACAGCTACTGCTTTAAAAGCAACCTGTTCAAATTGTAGCCTTTCAGATTCATAAGCTGAATCTATAGAAAACCTAGTGTGTTTGATTTTTTAGAAGAACTGAACAAGCAGAACAGAGTGAGATATTTTAATTAGCATAAAAATACATAAAAATGTAAGCAAGTACTTTTTAAAACACACTTAGTGGGAGTAGAGAAAAGGAAAAGTGTCCAAGAAATAAGAAGTAATCACAATATTCCATTGTACTTAACTACAAGTAATATTGCATAATCATAATATAAATAATAATACTGGGAGAACAGCATGACAGAAAATGTCAAGTGTGTACCGGGGATAGGAAGACAGAGAAAACAAAATCAGAGGTCAGTAATAATATCTATTACTGAAAAAAGGAAGGTATCTTATGAATATGATATTCAGTGATAGGGATGCAAATGCCAAAAAGTAAAAAAAAAGTAAGTTAAAATATTGCAAATTTTGAAAGCAGTGACTTTTGAAAGGGAAGTAGAGAGAGAGAGACTGGGAATATTTTATACTGATAATAAGGCTTAGAGAACAGTTTGACTCTTTAAACAGTGTGTGTATGTGATTAAAAGGAAAAAGCCTGAAAATCCCTAGGAGCTGAGGTTTGAAACAAGAATTATTATAGAACTAATGAACAATCCAGAACCACAACACTGATAAATGGATGAGGCAAATAAGAAGAATTCACAACTGAATTGTTTCTCACAACTGAGAAAACAGAGATGATTCAACTAACTAAAACCAACTGAGAAATAATTATATTTAATATATTGGAGGATAAAGTATCATATCTTTCAGAAAAAGTTTGTCATCTTCTAAAAATGGATAAAGGGCATGAACAAGCAATACAAAAGAAGAACTAAATATTGAAAATATTTACAAATATGTTCAACCTCCCTAATAATCAAAGAAATGCTAATTATAACTTATGGAACATCAGATTGGCAAAAAAGTAGACATATTGCTCTTAATGATATTAGTGGGCTGTGGAAATGGGAAGACAGATTTTTCTGATCACAGTGTACCTTTCTGAAGGATAGTTGGCAGTATGCATGAAATTATTGAATGTCCCTTCAATTAGACCTAATGATTACAAATCTGGGAATTTATGTTTAAGAAATAATTGATCATGGGTGTAAAAATTCTTCATAAAGGTATTCTTTCTAGTGTTTTTTAATGGCAGCAATGTAGATAAGCTATATTTCCATCCACAGGGATCTGGTTAAATAGGTAATGACATTCCCATTCCATGGTTCATACAGTCAGTAAATTGAGGGTGTATGGTCATGAAAGATGTTAGATAAATAGATAGAGGCAGATGGATAAATTGATGTATAGATAGAATGATGGAGAGAGAAAGATGGATTAATAGATGATAGATGAGATAGACTCATAACCAAAGAGAGAAAGAAAGATAGGAGTGAAGGAAGGAACTAACAAATTGTGAAATTGCTAAGGTATTTATCAAGATATTAATGGAGATTTTTGCTAAATAATGGAAATGCAGATAATTATACTTTTTATTAAGTATTTTATATACTCAACATAAAGGATAAGAAACCTTAGAGTACAGAATTTCTTAAATACTTCAGTGTTGTTACAGTTAAGCAATTTATAAATTAATATGAGACTCTCATAAGTTGAATGAGTACCAGAAAAATGAAGAGAAACATTTCAAAACCTGATTTGGAGGCAGGGAAAAAAAGTGGGGTTGTGGGCTCTAAGTATTAGTTTTTCATGAAGATCATGAGGATCATAATTGGACTCTGTTATGACCTATTTTTTTTTAACTGAATGTGATTGCAAAGAAGCTGACACATTTTGCTTCTGCTGGCAGGTGACATACAGATTGGAATGGAGGATAAAAAGGGCCAGTTAGAAGTTGAAGTGATTAGAGCACGAAGCCTCACGCAGAAACCCGGCTCCAAATCCACACCTGGTAAGATGCAGAGCTAGCTGTTCATATGAGAGTCTTCCATGGGCAGCAGCTCAAAACGTGTTGTATTTGAATTTCATATGCTCTGTGTTGCATTATCTCTCCTTTGTATAAAAGTGGATCTGGGTTTTCCTTGCACAGTTATTCTGTTGAAAGTATTAGTTATGATGACTTCTTAGCTCGTGTCAATTATTTTTGTCTGCCTATTTACAAAGGCAGCATAAAAAGTCAGTTCTAATCGTAACAAGGATGAGCTTTTAGATAGAAAATGAGCTTTAAAATATAAGCCTATGTTGTATTGCCAGCCATAAGCCAAATAAGTCAGAATCTTATTATAACTTTGCACAGTTGAAATGAGGAAAATTATGTTAGTAGTAGCATGTGGGTTTTAAGGGGTAGCATTCATGGAGCACTGAAAACTTTAAATGATTTAAATAATCAGTGGAAAGCTTTTAGTAAGTATCTCTACTTCTCTAAGGAAGCATTTGCTAACAAAATCAATTTAATTTGAAGGATTAACTTTTTATCTGTTAATGTTACCTTTGTTCAGCTCCTTATGTCAAAGTGTATCTTTTGGAGAATGGGGCCTGCATAGCCAAGAAGAAGACAAGAATTGCACGAAAGACCCTTGACCCTTTGTATCAACAGTCCCTGGTTTTTGATGAAAGTCCACAGGGTAAAGTCCTTCAGGTCAGTCATAGCTGGTTTGTCTGTTTACACTGTAACAGCCTATTGTCCGCATCAACACTGAAGAGGTGGGCAAACAGGAAGATAATAAATTCCAAATTGTTGATTTGCAATATAAGTAACATGTAGTTGTAAAATATCTCTTAGTTCCAATGGAGAACAAGATATTTATTTTCACTCTCCTTTTCTCCCTTCTCTTCATCCTCTCCTTATACTTTTGCCCTGCTTCCCACCCCTTTCATCTTCTAGATGATAGATAGGTAGACCAGATGGTTAGACTAGATAGATAGAAAGATGGATAGATAGGTAGACAGACAGATAGATAAATAAATAAATAGACTAGATAGATGGAAAAATGTATGTATGGATGGGTAGATAGGGAGATGGATAGATAGATAATTAGGGCAACCAATGTTAATAATAGTTTGTTGAGCGAGACATGATGCAGAGGAAGAAAGGAAAGGAAGCACATATTCATGACTGGCCGAGTGTCATTTTCACTGTTAGTTGTGTCCACATGTCACCATTTCTAAATATTTTGACCACCATTGCCCTGCCTCCAGCTTTTTTTGGCTTTTCATTTGCATTTCTGTAGCTACTAATAAGATTAAACAAATTGTTCATATGTAAATGACCATTTGAATTTTCTCTTATGTGAAAAATTAAGCATTTTACCTGATACTCTTTTTAGCTTGTAGAAGTTTTTTTTGGTTGGTTGGTTTTTTTTGTTTGTTTGTTTGTTTAAGCTATTCTGGTATTTTGTCATTTACATGAATTGCACACACATTTGTCCTACTGTGGCTTTTCTTTCACCAAACTCTTTACATCTTTTGATGAACAGAAGTTCTCAATTTAAATATACTTTTTTAAAAAACCACTTTTGTATTGTTTATGATTTTTTTTCTGACTTGGTTTTGAAAAATCCTTCTTTATACCTTATTTATTAGGTATAATCCTTCTTTATTTTTATCCTTCTTTATAAATATATATGGTATATATAACCTAAAGTTTATAGATATATTGTTTTCATAGAGTTTTATTATTTTGGTTTATGTTGTGAAGTAGGGCCCAATTTTATTTTTTTTCCCTTTTATATGATCATTTGTCCAGAAATTATTTCTTGAAAAGTCCTTCTTTTACACCTATTTTATAATATCACCTCAGTCATAGGTCATTTCACTATCTGCATTGTCCCCTTTTGAAAGATTATGTCTGAGGAATACAGGCATTAAATAATTTGCCAAGGTTACTCAGTAAATTGAAAAGCTGAGATTCGCCTCCCCCACCTCTGTAAAACAGGTGAGTGAGTTCATTTGGGAAACTCCACAGAGCCTGGAGTAAGTGTAATGGGAATCTTACCTGACACCAAAAGAATTGGTGTCAGATTGTTCTGTCAGTTCACTGACTTATTAATCTTCTGATCAAGTCAGAACTGTCAGGCAAGTCTTCAAAAGGCACCAGCTTATAATTATTGTTCAGCCTGTCCCTTTAGTAACAAGTCTATAACATAAAAGAAATGTAATGAATATTCTCATCCTTTATACACATTCCTCCATGCACACATGCTGTGGTACCGGAAGTTGGGTTATCTTGCCCTCCTAGCTTGCACAAAATTTAATTTGTATATATCTCTGTGGTCCTGCACATTGCTCACTAGATAGTAGTTGCTAAAGAAGGTTTTGAATTGATAAGTAAATAAGCTTGCCTGTTTGTTTTTAACATGGTTTATATAAACAATACCCCTCATGGACTAGGGAAATATTATATGTATTCCATCAAATCAAAAAATCATGATGAAGTGTCTGAGAGTACCTGAATATTTTTAATTATTAAGTCTCCTTGATCTTAGTTATATTCACTTCATGTCCTTCCCTGTCTGGCTCAGTTTAACAGACCAATTTGCTCTCAACTCTTCACATGTGCAGGAGAGGGACTCAAGTTCACTCCACTTCTCTTTCTCTGCAGGTGATTGTCTGGGGGGACTACGGCAGGATGGACCACAAATGCTTCATGGGGGTGGCTCAGATCTTGTTGGAGGAACTTGATCTTTCCAGCATGGTCATCGGCTGGTACAAGCTGTTCCCACCATCATCACTGGTTGACCCCACGCTCACCCCTCTCACCCGCCGGGCTTCCCAGTCATCTCTAGAAAGTTCCACTGGGCCCCCCTGCATCCGGTCCTAATGAACTCACACCAGTAAGACTCTACCTTCAGGATAGTAATCTGAACCAGATATTTCATGAGCATTGTTGGAGACAGACAATCAACCTGTGTTTTGCCTGTAGTCATTTTTCAATAATATGTCCCAATCGTTGTTTAAAAACCTGGCTTCACATGACAGAACAAGGCAGTCTATCAAATACAGGAAGAGTCAACGTGCTAGAGAATCACTGATGCTTCTAACAAATGAAAGAGAGGAAACTGCAAATTCACACACACGCGCGCACATGCACACACCTAACTGAACAAACTGGAAATTGTCACTCTTGTGAAAAGCTGTATTTTATGTGTTTTTTGCACAAACCACAAGGAGTGTTATTTCCCCGGTGTTTAAGTTTTCTTTGTGTGTTATTTGTTGATTTCAGTTGATTTCCTCTTTGTTTTGATTTGATTCAGTTTTCACTGCATTTGTTGTTTCTACTCGTTTTCAGCTGTGTCATGACAGGGCTCGTGATGTTTACAGAGACCCTTCCTTTCTTTTTCCAAAAGCACCAAAAAAAAAAGGGCTGAAGCAGTCTCTGTAGCATCTCTGCAGAGTGTGCACCATGAGACAAAGTGAGGCCAATGCAGGGCTTCACTGACTTTTGCTTTATGATTCTTCAAGTTCTTATGTGTAGAAACCCAGAAAATGAAAGTTATCTTCCAAAAACAAATAATCACAGAATCACTTTTTTGAATGGAGCTCATGTCTGTTTGTGTTCTAAAACATTAATTTATGTTTTCCATTGTTTTGCATGGAAGACCTTTACAGAACTGAGTCTGCAGCGAATGCTGGGAACTAACCTAAATGCATTGTTGTACCTTGGAAACACTCCTTGTTATGCCTTTTCCTTCCTGACATCCAAAATAAAAGCAAGTATATGCTCATGTGTACAAACCATATGTTTGACTTCCCAAAATGGTGACTAGACATGGAGTTGAGCCTCAGACACTTTGAATGATGCCCAGGCTCCTTGGCCACATCTCAGTGTAGACTTAGTACCAGTCCTGGCAAGAACATTGTATGGGCTATTAATATTCCACTGGAAATTTCATTTGAAATATTCCACACTAAACTAATGATTTTTATCAAATTTTAGTTTACATTTCTTTGAAATTGATGCAAGCACAATGCTTGTTTTTTTAACACAAAGTATCTTACCTTGGGGTGGGGGAAATAAAACAAAGTCCAGTTCAATTTGCATTTTCTTCATCTGAGTTTTTCTTGGCCTTGAATTCCCTTGTGACCTTCTGTATCTGTGCTAACAACTGCAGACTCTGCAGGTGCGTAAAGACCTTGTCCCTCCTTTTATGAGTCCCTCCACTTTTGTGACTCCACAAATAGAGCAGCATGACTTGGAACTGTTCAAAGCTGCATGCACGTTTTATTTAAAAAAAAAAAAAAGGATAAAGAAAAAAAAGAAAGGAAAAAAGAAAAGAAACAAAAGGTTATTTAATAATGTATGTTAGTTCCACATAGGCCAGCCTGTATGTTGCATGTACTTGTACAGTTTGCTTGTTAATTAATCTACTGAAATAACCAAGAAATCTAAGCCATCCATTTTTGTTACAGACATTTTGCAAGTTTTAGCCAGACTCCGTCTGTGAGTCTGAGGTGAAATGTCTATAGATGGACTTTATTTTTTACCCTCTGGAAAACGTGATGTAGTATGGACCAAATTCCTTCTAATAAATATTTTGGTGTAGATTCCTCCTGTGGGGCTGTAACACATGTAGACACTGTGTAACATAGGTTTTAATCCATAGACATACTGCCTGCACCAAGTGAATTATTTATTATTTACACACGCCAGAATGACCTGCCCACTGTTCCCAGGGCACAGATTGACCATGGGTCACCATGCTGAGCAGGAAGGACTGAAGCATTGGTGTACTTCTGCTAGATACCGTTCTGTCTTAGTGGCCAATGATCAACTGATTCTAATTGGGTAGTATCTTTCTATTTGACCACTTGTCTTAACACTTCCCTGTGCTTTTAAATGAACTTCCAACTCATGTATGTAAACATGTTTAATAAAATTTACTTTTCATGTCAGTCTACAGCCATCTGTGTTCTATGTTGTGCCAGATATTCATTGTGGGTTTCACTGGGCAAGATGGGAGCTGGATCGCGGGAAGGGAGGTGGGATTTGTCATCTGCTGGGGGCACTTGACTTGTCACTGCACCATGTGTGTCTTCATCTCCAGCCCAAAAGGGTACTTTGCATCACATACAATTTTTTACTCTGTCAGCCTGTCTAAGTGAGCACATGAGTTTGCTTCTGAAAAGTGGCATTACTGAAAACAATAAATCTCAGTAAGAATCAAACGGAAGATTGTTTTTCTGCTGCTCTTTAAGTGTACTGTTGTCCAATTGCCAAGTCATTTCAAGCATGTGATATGTCAAAATATCAATTCGTGCATCTTTCACCAGTGTCTGGTTCCTCTTTCCATTGGTTCCTCTGGACCCGTGATTGATTCATAAGAAATTGCCTTAGGGTTGGTCAACTTAAACCAAACAATATGTTATATCATCTCTAAGAAAATCTTAGAGAATAAAATATATCTTCAAATAAATAGGTGAGTCTCCAAAAGTAGTATGTTACATAAAATTTGTTGGCTTTATTGCTTCAACTTTATGACATTTTCTTTTCTTCCCCAAAAGTGTATTCATATGTGATGCCAAACCTGGCCTCTGTACACCAACACTGAATTAAAATTTGGAGATAAGAGTTTTGGGTGAAGAAGAAAACATATCTTTATTGCTTTTCTAGGCAAAGGGGGACACGGTGGGCTAATGCCCTCAAAACTGTGTCCCGTCTTGCAGGGCATAGTGAGGAGTATTCAAGTGTTCAAGGAGCAGAGCATGATCAGCCTATGGCCAATGTTCTGATTCATTGGTGGGGAGGGAAGAGGGAGTCAGGATTATCAACCTTCCGGTTCCAGCTGGTCTGAGGTCTTTGTGCTTGTGGGCAGGATACAGTTAACTTCTCCTACCTGGTGGGAGTTTCAGTATCTGCAAGACAGCTCAAAGATACTGTTATGTGTATCACTCGAGGCCGAATCAGGACCCTGCCCTAAAGCTGCACTATTGTTTCTTGACTGCTCCTCCCTAGTCTCCGCATCCCCTCCCTTCCCTGGTTAGTAATTGTTTGAACCTGACCTTTGGAGCTCTGGGAAGGTCATGTAGGCTGAATGAAGCCTATTTCCTACCATTAACCAGGGACACAGAAAGACTTTTGTGTCCAGGAGCCCCACAGAATTACTTTCAGTTCCATATATTTCATCATTGTCACCCTCACAACACTTGGTGAGCATCATTTTCATGTTGCATTGCTGTAAGATAATTGCTGCAATCTAGTCTACACCTTCTAGGAGCACTTAAAATTTTACAGAACACACTGGCTTTAACTTTGTAAATCAGAGTAAACACAACTAAATCAAAATCAAATTGGAGACAATCAGTTGTTTAGAGTGTTTTAAACAGTTGACTGAATTTTACCCTACTGAGTCAGCCAGTTGTTTGGTCTACAAGACATGAAATTATCTCTGAGACTGGGTCAACAGGAGACAAAAACAACTGATCAGTTCATTTCACAACAAACTGTCAGAGCACAGCTGGCTAATGGCCCTACAGCACATCACTTGGGGTGGGAGGGGGCACTTCTGCCGCTGAAAGAGGATGCAGCTGAATGTGGTTCAAGAACTCTTTGGACAGGCACAGAAGCAGAAATCAATCTTGAAGTCATATAGGATTGCATGGTGTTATGATTTCAGGGCCTGCATGATGGAGCGGAATTAACTAGAAGGGTGACCATTTTGCTAAATTGTCAGGATTTCTTGCTGACTCTGACAAGTTAATTTCTGGACATCTCAGCCTGAAATATGTGATCTGATTTTACTTAACCAACAGTGTTAAGAACTTTGTTGGGTACTAGATTTTAAGTACTTGGGATATAAAAGCAAAACAGATACTAGCTTCAAGGAACCCATGTCTACTGAGAGTAATCATTACCTAAAGAAATAATTGCAATGATATATGTTTGATTTGCATGCAAAGGGCTATGGGTTGCAGTTAATTTTCCCAATAGCCTGTGAGTTAAGTACTCTTATGACTCCTACATCCCATAAAGTATCTGCAGCGTGGAGCAGCTAAGCTGCAGGTCAAAGTTGCAGTGCAGGTTTAGTGATGGAGCTCAATACCCACCAAGGTCTTGCTGTCTTCAGAGCCTGTCTGCTCAGCACTCAGCATCTTCCCTCAGCACTCGCAACTGAGCTCAACCTTCACATACAAGGAGTCCACAAAATGGGGAAGAACTCCAACCAAAATCCATCTCTCCACTCGAGGCAAGGATAAAGCAATGCACAAAGTAGTCTTTGAGCCCCAGACTGATCCTTGGGTTTCAAGGCAACGTTGTCTTGGGTTTCCCTCCCCAGCTGTCCTCAGACGCAATGTAATAACTGTAGTTCTTACAGTTCTTCATCAGTCACAAAATTTTGCATCTTAGGGTTGAATCCACCCATGGAGCTGTTGGGTCTTCCCAGAGTCATCTCATGCACTCTCTTAAGTTATTTGCTTCCAAAGCACATTCAGTGATCATCATTGAGATGTAGAGTGCCCTCTCCCCAGAAGCTCCCAGAGGTCATCCCTCCACTCTGCAGCCCCTACACTTGACTTGTACTGCCACCCCGATTCCCCTCCAAAACTTCTCAACAGGGCACAAGAGATGCCAAGTCTTCACATCTGAGTGCAAAGCAGATGTTAGCAAATCACGGGCACCAAGTGATGACGTTTTTAGTAGTTGGTCCCATGCAGGTTACTCTAAGCTCATATCTTGGGACAAAGTCTTAGAAGTCATGTTTTTGATTATTTTGTTTTGTTTGAATCACCACAAAGAGATGCTGTGAGGTCACAGTATCCAATTACTATCCAAATTTGTTTCTTTCTCCTGTCATCTTCCAAAATGTGAAATGTTAGCACACACACACACCCGCCACACATGTGTGTGAGATGATCTCTCATATTGTGGATTAGGTCTTCACCATCAGGAGAACCTTTCAATACTACCTAGATCCATCAGTTTATCCCTCCCTAAAATGGTCTTTTCAGTCCTGCCTCCAATACCTCACCTACTGTTCATTCACCACTCTAATGGAAGGCTGCCAGATCAAAACACAACATAGCCACATTCATTTGAATTTTATATAAACAATGAGTAATTAAAAATCCTCTTAAAGTTAGTTTTATCAGCCATTCAAAGTCACCTTGGCATCCTGTGTTTTTACTGGCTAAATATGGCCATTCTATCCCTGTGGTGGGTGGTTTGTGCCCCTACCACTTTGCTTAAATGCAAACACATCCAACAGCATTTTCTCAGCATAGTTATTGACCCCTCCTCTGCATCTCCTATTGAGAACTTCCTTCTTGAAAGTTTTTCTCTCCTCTACTTATTGTTCTCATCCTCCACCTTGAAGACTGGATTATGTGTCCAATTCCTCACTCCTTCTGAAAGATCACATTCTCAGACCTGTTGCCATGTTATTTTGCACCCCCTCACAATACAGGATGAGAATCTACATCTCTTTGCCACTGACTTGGGATTGGCCAGGTAACTAAGCTTATTTTTTTTAATGTATTTTATTGAAGTATAGTTGATTTATGATGTTGTGTTAATTTCTGCTGTATAGAAAAGTGATTCAGTTTTACATATATAGATATATAGGCTCAGATATAGTAGTAGTGGTATTTGTTGCTCAGTCATATCTGACTCTTTGTAGCCCATGGACTGTAGCCCATGGGGCTCCTCTGTCCATGGGATCCTCCAGGCAAGGATACCGGAGTGGGTTGCCATTCCCTTCTCGAGGGGATCTTCCCAAGCCAGGGATCAAACCGAGCTCTCCTGCACTGCAGGCAGATTCTTTACTGTCTAAGCTACAGGGAAGCCATAAATATTTAGAGATAGACATATTCTTTTTCATATTCTTTTCCATTATGTTTTATTTCAGGATATTGAATATATTTCCCTATGCTATATAGGGGGACTTTGCTGTTTATCTGTTCTATCCTATATTTAAGAGCTTACATATGCTAATTCCAACTTCCCAATCCATGCAGTTGGTAACCACAAGTTTTTTCTCTGTCTCTGAGTCTGTTTCTGCTTTGTAGATAAATTCATCTGTGCCATATTTTAGATTCCACATATAAGTGACATCATATGGTATTTTTCTTTCTCTATTTGACTTACTTCACTCAGTATGATAATTTCTAGGTCTATGCATGATGCTGCAAATGGCATGATCTCATTCCTTTTTCCTGGCTGTGTAGTACAGATATGTATATATCTGTGTGTGTGTACACATGTGTGTGTATACACATCTTCTTTATCCATTCATCTATCGATGGACACTTAGGATGCTTCCATATGGACGACTTGCTCCTGTGCTTGTTGATGAGTTAGTTGGTTAGCTCCTAACAAGAAGAATTAGTGCTGTGACACAGCAAGGGCAATTCTCCATGGGAAGGGCTCCCTGCAGGCTGGCACTGCTAATTCAACCTGGTCCAAGCTGTGTAGAGCAGACATGCGTCTACCTCCCAGACTGAAATAGAGCTGCTCCCAGATCTGTGCACAATAAAAAATGTCTTTGGGGGCCACAAAGACTTGGAAGTTATTTGTTATGCAGCCTTACTATAGGCTTGACTAATACATGAACTGAGACCTTCCAGATGTATAAACTGGATTTAGAAAAGGCAGAGGAACCAGAGGTCAAATTGCCAACATCCACTGGATCATAGAAAAACATCTACTTCTGCTTCATTGACTAAGCTAAAACCTTTGACTGTGTAGATCACAAAAAACTGTGGAAAATTCTGAAAGAAATGGAAATACCAGACCACCTTACCTACCTCCTAAGTAACTTGTATATGGGTCAGAAAGCAACAGTTAGAAATGAACATGGAACAATGTACTGGTTCAAAATTGGGAAAGGAACACATTGAGGCTGTATATTGTCACCCTGCTTATTTAACTTCTATGCAGAGTACATCATGTGAAATGTGGA